ATAACTTATTTGATCTACTTTAAATGCTGATTTTTCATAAGGTTGGACCAGCTTCTTAACATCAAACACTTTCTCTCCGGAGGCACCAGCCTTATAGAGAAGTCAGCTGTGAAAGCTGACAGATGTCTTTGCCGGTAAAAACCATAGATGTGATTCCTGCTAAGCTAATTCCGTTAGTGGGAAGCTGCGTGCATTATCGCGCTGTGAGGTGTGTGCTTGGAAAACATTCCTCACATTTACACGCGTACTGGTGCGCTCTTACTATCATGCGGCTCCCTTTCTAAGTCTATACCTTCATCTGAAAAACATTTCCTGGCAGTTGAATTGTAGTTTGCAGCCAGATAATGTAAGCTTCCTAGTTGCCCTGCTGGGGTTTGGACCTGCTACCTTTTGTTAGTCCCCTGTAGCTTGTATAGCTTAATATTTATTTCTGGATGTGTTCCTATTAGAGGGTAATACCCAGAAGTACCTTGACAGCAAAGCATTACTGGTGGAAATATCAGAGATGAGGGAAAATTCTGTCGACTTACACCCCCCGGGCTGGGGTCCATAGACAAGCACCGGGCTGGGGAGGGGTGATTGGGGGGGGGGGAGGCGCAGGAGCACAAATGAGGAGTGAGTATTTTGGGCCTCATGTTGCCCCAATAACAGCCTTCACTGGCGCTCCTTATGCAAAGCAGCCCTGGACAGACCATCCCACTCCCTCCGCCAGGCTCACAGGTGACGTCAGCTGCACCATGACAACCGGCGATAAAAGAACCCGAATCCAGGCCTTCGGTGAGGTGTTTAAATGACTTTGGAGAGAATGCTCGCTCCCTCAAATGCGCACGGAAAGGCTTCTTGCTGGATCCCGAGTAGCCAAAAAGGTCTGGTCATTTGTGAACGGAACTAGATAAACAAAGATTATACAATGTGCAAATATAGATTATTCAAGTTAAGAAATGCAGACTTCAGGCCTCCTTTAACGACTCAGGAAAACCATTATTTTGCTCTAGCTCTTTTACAGAAACATATCCTTGGCCTTCAAAGAAAAAAAAAAAAGAGGTCTCCTGTTACCATGGCAACATGTTCTCAAAATCGGTCCCCCATTTTTCAAATAATGGTGGGTGATTCCTAGAGATCAGGTTTTATTGCATTTATGATATCCAGACCGCACTCTTAGCCACACATATTGCTTTTTGAAGGCAAAACGGAGGCAGCGAGATGCAAGCCTAATCGGAGATCTGTGTTTAAGCAGGACACCAAGTGCAGAAGATCACTCTAGATCCCGTGTGTGTCGCTGAAGTCCTCACTCAATGTCTCCCTTTGATCAAGTAGCAGTGTCTACAACCCTTGACTGTATCCGACCGATGGAGGTGCTAACAGAAAGGATTTAGTGCAAAGAAATGCAGTTGCTTTTCTGTGAAATTATCTATTTCTATCACCATGTATTATACATTCATCATAGATGTGTCTTCAGATGATTCACCACCCTTCAGATTTTTATTATTAATACACTGTTAGTGTCTTGCATTGCATATGGGATCATCGGAAGTGTTTTTCTTTGGATAGATCACAATCCTCTTACAGATAAATCAGCTTGATTAGAATCAATGTTGTTTTACAGTGCCACATTCAGAACTTTAACTGCTTAAAAATATTGAGGGTTTATAACACAAAAAAGATAAAAATAGAAAAGACGGTTTTTGTCACCATCAAAGTATAATTGAGTGACATGGCATTTAATCTTCTAATTCCTGCCAGTTGAAAAAAGCCCTCCAGCATACGGATGCAGTTGATATATATGGGGAAGAAGACAAGTCCATACCCTAGTTAATAAGCCAGAGGACCAGAAGTTTCCACAAGCTCTAATTAATGTTGTGTCGGCCTGGAGTCCCTGGAAATGACTCCTGGGAGCCCGGGGGCTGAAGAGAGGATTGGCCCAAACCTACCAGAATTCCTCCTCAACCACAGGGTTTCAAGAGAATAAATAAATAAATACCAGGCCCCTGAAATCACCTGTTTAATATGGCTCCCAGATGTTTTTGTTCAGTCTGTCATGGAAGATAGGAGCCGAGGCTGTAGTTCGATGGAGGGAGGCTTACGATAAGGCAGCACGCAGCCCTGCTCTGTAATTTCGGCCTCTCGATGAGTTTATGTCATGTTGAGTGGCTTCATTTAATGGTGGTGAACCCACAGCAGCCCCCCCCCCCCAAGGAATAGCTCAGAAGTCGTTTTTCTGCCTCTGCAGCACTTGCTCTCTTCATTTGTCACTGCTGATGGCACGTGTCCTATTTTAATTCTGCGGCAAATAATATTTTAATGCCAGCTCAATCTATTACAGTGAGTGTTAGATAGCTGTGTAACGTGAAGTTTGCTAGATTTTTCCTGCAGAATGGCCCTGTTGGATGAGACCACTTCTAGGACCCTGGGAAAGGCCTGCTTTGCGCTCCTCTTGTGGAAATGTCTAATTAGACTGCATCTGAATACGCTCAGCTGGATGTGAGGGTCTGAATCCCTCTCCAGGTTCCATTAAGAGGAGCCATAAAGGTCTGTCCCTCACTCGGCCCCGGGAGCCGGGAGAGAGGGGGCAACGTGCTCATCAGTGATGATTGGGTGGCTCTTTGTCCTCGCTCTTTGGGTCGGTAAGCGAGGGACCGGTCAGCAAATGAGAGATGGGCTTCGGGAGGTAAGGGGGTCTGTTTATCATTCGCATCATGCATCAAAATTCCTCCGCATCTCTTTGCAGAGTTCTTGCCTCTTTGTGATTGGCCTGCCTCAAGGTTCATTAATGCCAGACCGCGGCAACGCATCCAGCAATTCTGTGCCTAAGCACTACGGCCACCCCTAAAAGCTAATTATCTCACCTTGGAAACAAGTTATGTGCTGATATGTCCCTCAGTAAAGTCAAGCAGTGTGGTTACTTCCTGCAATTAAGACACAAATTGACAAGTAAAAGAGCGTGTAACCAAAAAGTCTACTCTGCAGAAACCACAGTGCTGGCTGCAGTATGGAGCAATACAGCTATTTGTAAAGAACAGCGGTTTTATTGTGGACATTAGAGCTACTCTGATGTTTCAACAATTGAAATAGACAATTGCAAGAATCTTTTTTTTAATCTTTCAGATGTTTCTACAGTATGTTAACTAACATGGGTTTTCATTTGTATAATATGCACAACTTATACATGCTTATGCTTGTGTTTATGTTTGAGCTGATATGGTACAATTTCTGTTTGTAGAGAATAAAAGGGCAAACATGACACTGAATCACAGGCACATGCTTTGTAAATCTGCACATTTTGGCAGCAAGTGAGGATGACTTGATATTTCACTTGGCATGGGACACTCACAGTAGGAAAAAATGATATTGCTGTGAAAAAGTAAAGAAAGGGGAAGCTTTACCTAAATAGGGTTATTCCTGATAGTAGGAAGTTATTGTGCTAAAGACCACTTCACATAATGGTCTTGTATGCTGATGTCCAATCATAAATCAGAGTGACCCCTAGTGGACAATAGCAGAGGTTGCAATGTGAATATGTAGCACTTCCACCGTGGATGACGGATACCAAAATAAAATCTACACAATTAAACTTTATTGAAAATGTTGAAACCATTCCCAGAATAATGTCTATAAAGCATCATGGTTGTATTTTGTTTTGAAGCTCATTAAGAACAACTTGATTTTGGAATTCTGGGGATCATTGCGTGACCTGAAAACCCTCACTGAATCAAAGTTGACATCTGTATGAAATCTTCACCTCGATTCTAGTCTTTTCACGGTTAAGATTCCTTCCCTGGACTATCCTCACTGCTTCTTTGTTCATTAAACTTCTGCAAAAAATTGTGTTGCCAATGTAACAAACAGAAAACCTGACTGGGCTGACCCATGATTCATTTCAAAGAAAGTGATTCCTGCCATGTGGAGCCTGCATGTTCTCCCTGTGTTGCAGAGGGTGCATCTGTAACGTGCCCTGTGAGGGACTGGCATCCCATGCAGGGTGTCCCGCAGCCCCGTGCCCTGTGAGGGACTGGCATCCCATGCAGGGTGTCCCGCAGCCCCGTGCCCTGTGAGGGACTGGCATCCCATGCAGGGTGTCCCGCAGCCCCGTGCCCTGTGAGGGACTGGCATCCCATGCAGGGTGTCCCGCAGCCCCGTGCCCTGTGAGGGACTGGCATCCCATGCAGGGTGTGCTCCAGCCTTCTGCCCTGGATTAGCGGTTAGAAGATTGATTGATTGATAGATGGATGAGTCCTGCTGCCTTGTGGTAGCTGATCTATGAGCTTCTCCAGAGTAGTACATTCAGGAAAAAAGGAGAAGGCACCCCGATATGCCCTGATAGGCGATGACATAAAAGATCAATCATCTTTCCATCCATCCATCTTCTGTACCTGCTTGTCATTTATAAACTAGTATCTGCTGGAATTCAATCTTACAATGTGTTCTGTGTCTGTAACCAGCCTTTCTAATAATGTTTTGTAAATAGTGAGCTTGTATCACGTGACCTTTTTCCAGGGTCCTTCTGAGACAGGCTCACAGAGAGCTCTGGACCTGCTAACTGTTTAGCTGTGTTTACTTGCTGTGTCAGGCTGTTTAAATCACGAGTCTTTATCCAGCTCCCATTACTGCCCTAGAGCCACCCCTCCCACTCCCCCTTCCAGCACATCCTGGCTTGCCCCCATACCACACAGCCTTGAAGGTGAGACTGTGTAGCCCCATGAAAGTCAAACATTGGAAGGAGGGGGGGGGGGTCTTTTGATGGATGGCTTTTAGGTCCATTTGTCATGCCTTTCTTGTCCACGTGGGAGTCAGAGCTGTCAGGGTTGAGTAAAACCTCCACCCGCGAGCAGATATGACTTTGACTAAGGGAGGTGAACTCCCCCCCCCCTGCCCTCCATACAAATCTACAGCATCGTGGGTTTATTCTCTTCCTGCTCACTCAACTAACCCCTGCACCCCCTCTACCTAAAGAAAAACAGACCAAATGAATACATTTTTAAAAAGGAAACAAAAAAAAAAGCTCATTGTGCCATATAAGGGGGCTTTTGCGTTTATTTCTCATGGTTCTTTGCACACTTCAGCATGGTGCAGTTACAATCAAGTAAAAAGTTTGACTTACTTGTCCTCCTGTGATAATATAAAGCTTTTAATGCTACAGAATAAAGCTGTGCATGTCTGTATATCACACAACTTCATTCACAAATGGCACAAACACACCTCCAGGAGCTAAACATAGGCTTTCCTTTTCCCCACAAATAAAATGGAATAAATTAGGGACATTATATAGTCATGCACTCACTGTACATAGACAGCCAAAATACATCTACTGCTAAAACAAAACAGCTATCTGGTAAGACGCACCACTGAAGTCACAGATTTTTATCAATTACCCAGTTAGCATTAATATTGAGCACGTGATATACTCTGGAGTGAATAAGCAGATATACTGTAATGGGTAACCGTAATTATTATGGCAACTGCCTGCTATTTATTCAGCAATACTTTTGCCAGAGAAAAACATATAATCAGGACGTGTAACCATTTTCCCACTGAGTACCTTCTTTGCACAGAGGGTTGTCTTCTGATTCTTAGGTCTGTATTCTGAGGTGTGTAAACATGTTATCCTTCTGCATAAACTGTATTAGAAAAGAAAGAGAGAGAAGGCAGATCAATTACTGGTACTACATCCCATAATGCACCAGTAATGGGCCATCCCTAAACACCATTTGGAAGGGAGAGAGAAGGCCGACGTGGAAACGATACAATCTGAGATGCACCAGAAGGGATGCTGTGAACCAGGGGGGAGCGTGGAAAGCGCCCTCCCCCGCCCCCCACCCCGCGCCCGGTGCAGGAGCACAGACACCCCCCCACAAGCCCGGGGATGGGACGGAGGGAGAGTAGCTTCCAGACATTCATGTGAATGGGTGCTGCTGTACAGCCTCCGAGTCCGAGAGGTGCTCCTCGTCGCCAGGGTTCTCCTGAGGGTCGGTCTCCTCGTCGCTCTCAGCGCTGTAGTCCACCTCCTCCATGAAGGACGGTTCGTCCTCCTTCAGCACATAGGTGGTGGAACTGAGGGAAGGAGAGGCAAAAACACGACAAAATGAATAGACAAAATCAGGAGGTGGGGGCCTAGCAGATGGTTACCGTGCCGTACATTGCCATGGCAACAAAGAATGCATCACCTCTTAAGTATATGAGTGCAGCGAATGCTGCTTAACACATCCCCATGGCAACCGAGAGCACATCCAAGGCTGGGAATGTGCCACCTTATTGAAATGGCTTATCAGGTGTATCTCTGCGTGCACCCCCTCCCCCAAGGTGTCCCACCACTTGGGGACATGCAGGAGCCCAGAAACCCCAATACCCTCTGATTCCGGAAAGAGCTCCACTGCCGGCCCGATGAGCCGATCCGGCTTCTCGCCATGGTAGCTGTGATTTTTAGTGCCAGTAAAGAAATTAAAATAAGAGACAGCTGGCTTGCAAAATGTGGCTGGGCTCTCACTGGATTAGGTAACATGTGCCAAAGGTCTCTACAAGATCTGATGAACCCCCACCGACAAACAGCATTGCTTAAGGAGTCAGCCTACAGGAGAACAGTTAGGGTGGGTGCTGCAAAGCCTCATCCAGGGATAAAAACAAACCATAATAATACATAAAAACCCAGCCTGCTGGGCCGCCGTGTGGCATGAACTGGCTCAGACCAGCGGCCTCCCTAAAACTGCATCACACCTCCTCAGCTGCATCCACCACCTGACACGATGACGCAAAGGCCACCCCTGACCCCGACAGGGCCGATGATTAACGCCATCTTCCTAATGGTTTAATAGCACAGGGGACCCCGAAATAACGCACTGCCAAGACGAGCACAGCGGCAGCCAGCACACCCCCATAACCCTCAAGAGACCGACGCCATTCTTCGTTGCCGTAACATAATCTCACTCACGCGGGACAAGCGGCACGGCAAGGAGCATTGCCTCCTGGGGTAAGGAGCTAAAATACTCCTTGGGAGGAGCTAAAGTGATTTGGTGCCATTAGAGGGTGACCTGGCAGGCTGAGCATCGGTGATGCGTATGAGAGGCGTCCTCGATATCAGTATCTGCCTCCAAGGATGACGAGAGATATTTGTTCATGGAGGTTTGAGTGGTTCTTAATATTTCATAGAGTACTCCACAATTCTGATGACTCCACCCACCCTAAGCCCTGACACACGCGCTCTAACCCATTAGTGGGACACACATCTTATTATTTTTTTTCGGATCTTTCTACTCTGAGTTCTCAGACACTCACTGACAGCCTGCTCACCCCCGACCGTGAAAGCAGATCGTGATTCCCTCACGTTTAGCTTCTCGGCCTCGCTAACGCACGCGCACTCCGGGGAAATCACGCTGCCTCCTTATCCCAACACAGGACAGAGTGCGGGCAGCTGTCAACACACTCAGCCACTTGGTACCGCGTAGCCGCTCTCCAGGTCTCCACTGGCAGCCCGGCCCAACTGAGGCGTCCCATGGTGAACTGAGAACAGGCACAAGGTGCATTTCTACCTGTTCTTCCATTGGCAACCAAAATTTGCACAGTGTACAGAAACTGCGTTGATCTTGTGTGTGAATGAGCAGAATGTGTGTCTGAGTTCCATACGAAAAGTAGGATTTTCCATGTGGGTATGTGTTGGGATTTATGCATGAGCACATTTTATATGCCCATAAACACTTTATATTCCCTGTGTGTGCGTGTAACTGCAGTGCCCGTGTGTCCCTTGCAGGAAGGGCTGTCCTCTGACAGGATGATGGACAATCTGGGGAAACCCAACCGGCCCCTGGGAGCAGCAGTACTGGTTCTGAGATTGGGTTTCCCCACATCTGATGAACCCGGGCCGAGTGCAGGAGGCTCTGAGCGTGCTCATGTGCAGGCAGGCAGGCACATACACACACACATACACACACGCACATACACACACGCAAACACGTGCATACACACACACATACACACACACACTCCCGCTCTCTCACTCCCCTCACCGTCTCATACCCCATCTTGACCAGTCTCCTTCCTCTTCCCCTCCCCTCTCCAGCACCCACATCAGCTGAGAGTCAAAGGCAGTATGGCTGCTGTCTCTGAGACCCTCGTGAGGCATGAGCAGAGGCCTGTCTTTCCCCGCGATGTCAGATCCTGACAAGGACAGCAGGCTGAACATCCTGGAAACTCAGGGCCGGTGGACTGTGCTCGATCAACGCCTGGGTGTTTGTTCCTCCAGTCTCATGTCGTATTACTGAATAAATCATGAGCGTCATTTAGTGATATTCCGATTTAACCGTTGCCATTAAGCAGCCATAAACATTCACTGCGCTAAATTTGAAATGACCCAGGAGCTTTGGTCACACCGAGACTAAGAGCTGCCTGCGGGTGCAGGTCACTCATGCTGCAAAGCATTGTGGGAAACGGCTCCTCCCCTCTCCCTGCATAACTCCCACGCAGGACTAACGCTGCTCTGACAACAGAGAGGGTCTCCCTCCACCCACCCACACAGACACAGCAGCGATCTGCCTCTTCTCCATCCACACAGCCAGACATAGCAGAGATCGCTCTTCCCAGGCTAGGCGTCAGCATCACACTGGGCTGCTTGCGAAGGCCGTGGTCGCCATGGAGATGGGGAAGCGCACCGAAGCTGCTGGTTAAGAGTTAAAACGCAGTGTGACTCACTGACCACACCAACCAGGCAAATAAAATCTCAGTACCATGTCAAAGGCAGAGTGACAGAAAAACAGCGTCTCCATCAGATAAAGGGAGACATACCACCAAGCTGACACCTAAAAGTCATTAAAAACAAAATCAGGCTTGAAAAAAAAGAATCAATCATGGTAAATTTCAATCCTCCACGTTCTACCCTGGGTTGGTGGATCTCTGCTGGTTGAAGACCATTCCATTCAAGCCCCTCCTTGAATCTCTCCATCATCCAGAAGGCAACTTAATAGGGTATTAGAGCAGAATTCACCTTTAATTGACTTTTAAATGAGCGCGATGAAGGGATGGAGCATCACATGACCTCAGACATTTGTAGGGCCTATTCGTAAAAGTAGCCGCACGGAATACTTTTATTATCCTGCTGAGTGCATGTCTGAGAGAGAGACTGGATGTGAAGGATTCAGCACAGGGATATCAGGAAGCCTTTAAAAGCTATTTAAAGACCACGCAGGACAGAGTATGGAGGATAGAGGGCGCTAAAAGAGGCTCTGGCGTGTCTGTGATGTCACCCCCTTTGAGCCCCTTCAGTATGGCCTCCCATCCCAGCCTCTGCCACTCCCTCAGAGATACACAGGCAGCCGCAGCCTTCACTGAGCTTCAGAGCTGCGGCGGGTCTTGACCGGCGTGTTTGGTGTTCCGCCAAGTTGAGAGTAAATACGGGGGTTTGCAGGGGATGTGGCCTGAGACTGTGACCCGCTCAATGAGAGCGGACGGGGATCGAACGAGGTGGAAGACTAGCACACGGCACGGCCGGTGTCGCGTTTCCCTGTCGGTGACCCCCTGTCAGGGAGCATGGGCAGGAGGGCTCACCTCTGACTGCTGGGTGGGCGTGGGGTCCCTCTGGAGAAGTCAGCGGATCTCCGCCCCCTCAGTGCCCAAGTGGGTGTACAGCAGCCAGCACCCGCTCTGACACGGAACCAAGGGCAAATGGACCCAAAGTCTGGTTCATAACTATTCAAAAGCTGACATTTCCATCGAAATATCTTGCATTTTACTCATTGAGATATCAAAACAATCACCCGCTTGCCATTCCAGAGCAGCTTTCAGGCTCTGCCCTGCAGGAGGGAGACTGGAGACAGCGTGTGAACTGGGGGCTGCAGCTGACACAACCACCTCCTTGCCCCACAGTCACAGAAAAGAGCAGGTAAGCCGATCTCTCAGTCCCCCCCCCCTTTCTGCCTCGTAATGGAGGAGTTAGTGGGCCCTCTCGACCCCGAACTGTACTTTACGATCCCGGCAAATCTATATGAAGATCAAATCGATAAACTCCACGTATGGAACAGGATTTCTGCAGACAAAGATTACAGCCCAATAAATCACACTTTATGATGCCTGTTGAAATCCTAAGTAGGTTTGAGACGATTGATCTCAACCCTGAACTCCACACTAAAAAAACCCTGCATTCAAGTGTATGATGTGATGGGGGGGGGTTCTGAAGGAGGGGGTTTGTAGCTCATAACCCTGAGTGTCACATGTTAACATACATGATGTTAACACCTAGTTCACTAATGTACTGATCACCACTGATCCCAAGTTAAACCAGATCTGAAGATAACAGTATTTAACCCTAATCATTTGCCCAATTGGCCATGGTAAATGTACTAAACCATAATTATTTGCATCATTTTAAAGGGAATTAACTATATGAAATTACAATAATGCAGCAATGTGCAGTTAGACTATCTGTTCATCTGCTTGTTCAAATCTGATAATTTATCTCCTTTTTAACCATAAACACTCTTTCTCAGAGCTGAGGCTGAATTTCTCATTACTTAGTCCTAGTAAAGATTTAAAGGATGTGAATTACACTCCTCGTAATTTCACCACTCAGCACAAACGGCCTGTAGGGGGCGAGGCAAGCAGCCGCGGGCTCCAGCCCACCTGGTGTTCCTGCAGCTGGTCTCGATCAGGTCACCCTCCGCCTCCAGGAAATGGGAGGCGTGCCGGACCTCCAGGGGGGACGAGAGCCTCTTCAGCCTCAGCAGCGCCACGCAGAACTGGGCTCCCATCTCCTCTAGCTCCCGGGTGCCGATCTGGAGGCCCTGTGCAGAGACACGGGCGCGAGAAAGGCCCGGCCGCATCGTGAGAATGCAGAGATGAAAGCCTGCCGCACATCTGTGTAAACATTGCCTGGAACACCAAGTCGGTGGCAGGGGCAGCAACCGAGGCAGAGGGGACAATGAACCTCAAACCAGGGGGTGCGTTGCGTGGGTTGGGACGGGACTGTCCCAGATAGGCTGTTTACACTGGCAACCAGCATACTCAAATAGACGGAAAGATCCTGCCCGACGTCTGAGAAAACCGGCCGCCTGCTTGGCGATTCCGATGGAGAAAAGCCGGTACGGAACTTCAGATAATGTGAGCGTGAATCCCTACGTACGGTACGTGCGGGGTAGCCAGTCAGCTGACCTGTGAGTCACGTGCGTCACATGACCTGGTGAAACAGGAAGGACTCACCAGTGCCAGCACCAGGACCAGCTCACAGACGAGAGCCAGGGTTCCGCAACTCTTGCCTTCATCGCTCACCCAGCACTGCGATATGATCTGGACTTCCTCAGGCTTATTTCGGGTTTTAGTGATGTTCTGCTTTTAATTAGTGCACAAGTCCGCTGTCTGACCTCAGCTGGATCCCGGCTACTTTCCCATTCGTGCTGTTTGCTCTGCTTGCTAGCCAGTTTTAATGGTGATATATCCTGTCTAAGGATCATTCTGAACAGAGGCAGTGTGGTCTGGAAGCATTCAATACAACAAGGTCATTTTCTGTGAGAGATGGATTCATGTGTGTGTGTGTGCGTGCACCTGTGTGTGTGTTTTCTGTATGGCCTCTGATCCGTGACAAATATCAAGCTGAATTGGCGCTTAAATCAACATCCACTGCTAACTTGCCTTGTGTTTCTTTTCCTGTTCCTCTCTCTGCTGTCCCGGAGAACAGGCAAGAGGGGTACAGAACACAGGAAGGCTGTGGTTCTCAGCCCCAGTAAACATTTAATCGTAGGAAGCAGATGATATTTCTCCTGGAAATAATACATCGGAGACCACGACATCTATCCATCTATCCATTTTCTGAAACCGCTTATCCTGTTCAGAGTCGCGGGGGTCCGGAGCCTATCCCGGAAGCTATGGCCGCAAGGCGGGGAACAACCCAGGATGGGATACCAACCCATTGCAGGGCAAACACACACACACACACACACCACTCACTCACACACCATACACACCTATGGGCAATTTGGTGACTCCAATTAGCCTCAGCATGTTTTTGGACTGTGGGGGGAAACCGGAGTACCCAGAGGAAACACGACACGGGGAGAACATGCAAGACCACAAAATTCTCAGTAAAAATAAATTTAAAACAACAACAAAAAAAGTACCTGTAGCAAAAGTCAGTATGTTCTGCCTTTAAAACCGTAATTTGCCCCTGAAACCATGGGCTACTGAAATGCCCAGCAAAGTTCGGCACCCTGTGTGTCCCTCAAGTTCGGCACCCTGTGTGTCCCTCTGCAGCCACCATACCTTGTACTTGCCCTGGTCGCAGCCACACAGTGTGCTCTCCATGGTGTAGCTCTTCTGAACGCCGATCTCACGCCACACCACCACACGTGCCGTTGACTCCTTGGATTTCTCCACCACGAAGCTGCAGCTGGCCATACTGAAGGCGGGTGCGATCTGGCTCAGGATCTTCGGCAGGGTCTGGGGGGGTGGCGGGGGGGGGAGCAAAAGGACGGGCAGGGTAGCGAAGCATGTGAAGCAGGGCTTCCCCACACGGTCTGCAAGCCCTACCAGCCAAGTTTTGTTCTGTGCCACCACCTGCACCCTCGATTTTACTCGCTCACTTGTTGTCACTATTATTAAAGCCTCGGTTACCTGGCTCACACATGTAGCTGGTTAACTAGAACAAGTATGTTGACTAGCTGGGTTGAGAACCACTGATTGAAAAGGTCAGAGCAGCTATTTAGCTAGAGACTGATTTTTCGGAAAGGATTCACAGCATGATAATCCCCCTAGTGGCCAAAACCACACATTACCAGTCAAAAAGGAGCCTGTTTAAACATTGACAAACAGCAGAACACATCCTTCTGAAAACAACAGCTTTCATAAATCTCTTTTTAGTTAAAAGCATGATTAATGAGATGCCTGTTTGGTGACAGGTTTTAACCCATTAGATAACTAGATTACATAGTGAAGATAAGCAGCAGCTGGGACACGAACCAGCAGCCTTCTGGGGACGGTGTCATGTCACTAACCGCTCGGCTAACTGCCCTTTTGTGTTCACTGTGCCCGTACAGCCCCACAAGGCCTGCGCTTTATGTCCCCTGAGCTTTACTGTCTCACGTGACCCTAACAGGGTCTGTCAGCTAACCCTTACATCACATCGCGGTATAGCATGGCATGTCTCTGTGTCCTGTTCTGGTTAACCATGTGTGTCTTTACACTGGGACTTCTGATCAAAGGGACACTTTTCAGGCCTGTAGATAAACTCTCAGCACCATACGGCGGTCGTTACGTTTAGGAGATGCCTCTGTCTGGAACCTAAAATCAGTTTAATATGTACTCTTCAGGAGCAGCACAGTGGCTCAGTGATGCACACAATACACCCCCCCTCCCATGCCCCCACGCCTCTGGTACTGTGGAGTCAATTCCTGCTTCCACCAACGGGTGGAGCTCCTTGAAGCAGAGTCTGGCTCACCGGGATCAGGCCCCAGATAAATGATTACGGGTGAATGTTATCCTTGTTTAAAAAGGATAAGTACTGCATGATGCTCTGTGTCTTTTAACTGCTTTGTCTGGAATCCACAGGCTTTTTACAATAAAATTCCTCCTAACTACAGTGACTTAATAACCAGCAGTTGTGTTGCCGTTGCGTGGACAGGTGTGAGGGGCAGGGCGGACGATGGGCAGAGGGGTGAGAGGTGAGGGGTGAGAGGTGAGGGGTGAGCCTGACCCTGTAGCCCAGGTCTTCGTGCAGGTCAGAAGATGTGGCGTTCACGTCCGTCTGCCACACGGTCTCCTTGATGCTGCAGCCATACATGAAAACGTTCTTCTTCCGAGAGTGACCGTGGTAATCACAGTAAACCTAGACATATGAGTGGAGGGGGAACAGTGCATTTAATCACAGGTGGGGGGGGGGGGGGTAGGCTATCCTTACAATGAACAACTTCACAGAAGAATCTATATTCCAGGACATTGAGTATTAAGTTCCAGAATCGTTATCTGAAATGGAGGTCAGGTTTTGGGGGTTGGGAATGATACATACACCTCCACGTAACATGCTGAACCACACACACTCAGCCTTCCTGGTGACAATCACAAACGCCTAAACCCAGGTCAGTTTTTAGGTGGTGGGGGGGAGGGGACTGAGCATGACCCGCACCTACTGGCACTAAACGTCCACAGCTAGGGACTACCTACCCAGAGAATTTGGATGGAAATCTACTTGTGGGAAAAGCAGGCCTCTGGTCACTGGCATTTGAGGCCTATCTGGTCGGGCAGAGGGAGGCCATCCTTACCAGCGGCACCCTCTGGAGAGCAGACAGGTACTGCAGCAGGCCCTTGGCGTGGAAGATGGTGGGATGCAGGTCAGGGTTGGGCCTCTGCCACTGGCGGTTCAGGTCCTCCCCACTGAGAGAACACCGGTGGCTGGGGAGGGGGTTTGAGATGACAGGGGACATTAAGCCTCATGACAGGTTTGAGTCAGCTGGTTAAACAATAAAGTGCAAAATGTAAGTATGAGTACTTGAGTGTTTACAGTTAGCAAGTTTGCTTTGGCTGCTGCCAAAACACAGCAATTATCAGCGATCTGAGTGATGAAGCTGCAGGGATTTCTGCAAGTAACAAATGGAATCAGGCCATCAAAATGGCTTAACCAGCAGCTGCTGGCTACAGTTTATTTTAAGGAGGGGAAATGAATGAGTCAGATGAATAATAACACAACTGCTAAAGATCTTGATCCCATCCAAGTAGTGGGAAACAGTGGAAACACTGTTACATTTACTTTAACTGGCTAAATGAACATGAGTAAAAATGAGTGCCATTAAACCCATTAGTGTCTACAAACAAAAATCGTAGCTTTCCTTTTCCATCTGTCTTTAATTAATAAGGCACAGCATCCCTCCAGAGATGTAAACTATTTATAAAGACGCTTATAAAAGCTCTGCGTCAGTAAGAGCGTCCCGAGTTCTGCAGATCCCTTAATTCACACCAGCAGTGACACCCATCAGTTCATCAGAGTTGGCAAATATGCAGGCGAACAGAAATGAAGGGAAAGAGCCTCGTTATGCTGCTCTGGCCACCACCACTGAGGTCCGACTCTTTAATCAAGGCCTAACGACTTGCAGGTGCTGGGGACACGCCTAAGCTGACGTCCCGAAGGTGCAGACTCACTTCCCGTTGACCACGCCGTCCGGGTTGAGCATGGGGACGATCTTGAAAATGTAGGCCTCTCTGAGGCTCTGGGCCACAGGGCCAGTGCCCATCAGGAACTCCAGTGTGCCCTTCATCACCCAGCTGGCATTGGTCTCGCCGGGGTGGACCCTCGCTGTCAGGAACACGTACGGCCGGTTCCCTGCGTGGTCGGAGAAGACGGGGAGTCGACGGGGACTCCGTTAGCAAGGCTTGAGCAGGAGTTGGTGTCAGGTAAAGGCCAACTACTTTAAGAAACCCATTGTGATGGGGGGGAGCACTCACTGAACTGGCAGATCTGGTCGTTGCTGGTGGACTGAGGCATGGCGGTGATGGTGAGGAGGGGGCAGCTGTTCCCGCCCAGAGTCTCGCACAGGACGTCCTGCCGTAGGTAGATCTGGGGGGTCCTCAATGCCTCCAGCTTCTGCAGGTGCATCTGTGCGAGATCGAGCAGGGACTATGCCAAGCTTGCTGGGCAGAGACCGTCTCGGGGGGGGAAGCGGCGGGACATGCGACCAAAACACCAGGGGATGTGGGTTCAGATCCCAGGAAGGGCCCCGCAGGTACATGGCGTTACCTACTTGTGTTATACCCGCCTGTACCCAGCTCAAATGACAGACACGGGCAGAAATATAAGTGGCACAAGGCACTTTGAAAGAAGATATATTCACAAAGTATTCCTCCATCTGTGTGCCGTGTGCACCCTAAATGGAAAGCATGTGCATGCAGCCTGCCCACCCCCAGCCCGCCAGTGTCCAGAGCCAACCAGCCGGCACAACATGGGATCTAAAGTGAAAGGAAATCCAAGAATCACTCACATGGACGGTGGCAGGGGAGGAAAAAAATGCCAGGATGTTGCAATTCCGCACGACCGCAAAAACGTTTCCATCACTGACTCTCTTCACAAAGCTGGAAACACCCACGTTAAATTATGGTGGTTTCAATTTGCAGAAGCGTAATTCTGCTGCTATCTCAGAGTAACGGGACAGAGCGATGTGATACACGGAGTGGTACGCACTGCAAATGCAGCAAAAACTGGCCGCTATTTACCACGTAGACTGAGTACATGCTGGTGTGACAGTGTACTTTGAGGGTGGCAGTGTTATTTTGGGTGGGACAGAGAGGATTCGCCGGTGCCGTACTTTGAGGGTGGAGTAGGTGTAGGGGTAGTGGTAGGCAAAGTAGCAGACGTCGTCCTTGTGCTGAAAGGTCACAGTGAAGGTCATGGTGTAGTAGGACTTGCCCTTCTGGCCCCCTGCTGCAATGGAGCTCCGGGAGAAGTGGTTCCTGAAAACAAGACACATCCCGGTGAGTTCCAGTGATAAAAACAATATCATTGTGCACGTTGGTATGGGGGGTACAGATGCACCTAGCTTTGAAAATTCATCCTCAAAATTCAGTGATCTTATACTGCCCCCTAGTGGCTAAGGGAGACTACTGGGAGGCTACATTGGGAGAATCTGTGAAAATCATTAAAGAAGGGCTCCCAGATGTGCAAAGGGAAGGAGGGGGGTTATTAAAGGGTAGCGGTGGGGCCCCTGCTCTGCTCTCCCTCTCAGCCCCCCCCCCCATCCTTGTTGGGCTGAGACGGGCCTCCCCACAATGCTGGCTTTTGTCTTAGTCAGGATGACCACGCTCTCCCAGGAATTACTGCAGGCCATCACTCGGCTCTCCTCGTTAGGTTGAGTGAGCAATGTGTCTGCATCTAATCACTTTAGTCTCGGCGTCTGGCGTCAGGCAGGATTACGGGCCGGGCGCCGGGGCAGGGGGCAGACACACCTGGAGAGTGTGACTGAGCCCGGAAAGACGGGTCGTCCTACCAAATCGCACTGTGGCTGTCAGTGTCTCATTAGTCAGGGGCCCATGGTCTTGGAGTGCACAGGGGGGCCTCTGTCAGTCCCCCCAAGCAAAAGCAGACACGTTTATCCAAAGCGATGTACAATTCATATTGGGGCTGCAGCAAGTGAGGGTTAAGGGCCTTGCAGATGGTTAGGATGACATCACTCTGCCAACCCTGTGATTCGAACCAACGATCTTCCAACCTCAGGCCCAGGGTCCTAACATGCTGAAGCACACACCACATCCAGGGGGCCCAGGCTTACTTGTAGTAGCAGATGTCTGTCCCTGTGCGAACCCAGCATGGCCGTCCATTGATGGCTTCCCGGACAGAGTACATCAGCACCTGCATGCCTGTGGGGGACAGTCAGGGACAGGCGTAACACACATGGAAGGGGGAGGGACACCAGTCAAATCTCTCGGTGCAGCATCTGCAAAGCGCCATGAAGGACAGAAAAATGAGAGAGAGGGGCAGCAACGATAGAAATAGTAGGCCGACGGACAGACAGACAGGCAGGCAGGCGGGTGGAAAGACGGACAGGCAGGGAGGCAGGCCAGCAGACAGGCAAGCAGACAGACTACCGGACAGACAGGCAGGCGGACAGACAGACAGGCAGGATGGACAGACAGACAGGCAGGATGGACAGGCAGGCAGACAAACAGAGACACACAGGCAGAGACAGACAGGCAGACAGACAAGCAGGCGGACAGATAGGCAGGATGGACAGGCAGGCAGACAGACAGAGACACACAGGCAGAGACAGACAGGCAGGATGGACAGACAGGCAGACAGACAGAGAGGCAGACAGGGACAGACTAAGAGGCAGCTAGATACGTAGACAGGCAGGCAAACAGACCGGCAGACACAGTGGCGGGCCGGTTTAATGACACGGGCCTTGGTCATTTGGAAGTCTGTGTCAGAGGATGCTGTCCCAGGAGAGCTCAGTGATGGATGCTCTGCCTCGGACACCAGATCAGGCCTCCCTTTCCATAAGGTCATGACCCCTCATGGTCATCATCATTAAACAAATGCACTGAAAGTCTGTGCCTGCCGAGCGCAGGCCCTCCCCCCTCCCCCCTCCCACCACCCAGCTTACCGTAATTAAATTGGCTGTTGGACTTCTCGCAGTTGATGATGTTGAACCGATACGGGGTGCCAGCACGCATGCTGCTCACCTCGAAGTAAAACCACTGGTGGTAATGGTTGCTGTTGATATCCGAGTTCAGGATGAGGTCATACTCAAACCTACAATGGCATCAGCAGCGCGCATCAGCGATGGCAGAGAATGCAGGACCACAGCTTTTCTTTTTTTTCCCCACATAAGTACTCTTCCAGTGAACAATAGAATTACAATATAGCGAGGAATTATGAATCATAAAGGAGCGATCCCACTTGAACTTTATACCCACCCCCCACAGCCCCTCGCCAACAGGATTTGGCTACTGATTAGAGCTGCCGCGATTGGTCGACATAGTCCACGATGTCGACGCAAAAAAAATGTCGACATCGATATCTTTAATCGACACGTCACTTTTTTTTTTTTTATTAAGTTGTTTTAATTTCTCAAAACACGCCAACCGTTTTCCAGCTCTCTCCAACTTGAGTATTGTCAGATTTTGCAGTTTTGGATTTTATAATTAGGGAGTGTGAGTACCCGTGGATAATATTTATCTAGGAAGCTATTTCTCATTTACGTATGCTACAGTAAGTAGCCACAACAGTGTAATACTGTGGCGTTGAGCAGACCGAGGCAGACACTCGCTTACCGGGAAACATAGTCGCTAAGAAAAGAGCCAGCCTACAGTAAGTCCAGAACACGTGGACATGTTTGACCACCAGATGGATACGGTTGTCTTGCACTGTAAATGTGTTGCACTTTAACTTTTTTGCTTTGAAAAAGAGTTTCGTGGAATTTTGGATGTTAGTTGGAGTTGCGCTGCTGATGTTAAAATAAGTGCTCTTATTTGTTTATTTGTTGTTTGTATTTCTTGCTGGAGTTGTCCGTTTTACAAACAGACAAACAGTTGTCTGTCTGTTTTTCTTAGAGAACTTAAATGCCAGTACTTGACCACAGTATCGTCTAAACAAGCTGCCCTGTTTAACAGTTATACTTTGAAAAGGGACATAAATCTTTTTCCAGTTAGAGATGCACTCCTTGCTGAAGTGAGCCCTCTTTGTTTGTTTGCAGTTATTGATGTTCAAAATATGCTGAATATAGAGCTGAAGACATTTTCCAAAATTATTTTAAGGGCTTTTACAGAAACTTTCTTAAAATCTGCACAATACTGTGAAAGATAAAATGTTTTGTGATACTGGAGTGCACAGTGCAATTGTTAAAATAAAGAGAATTTAATCATAGATTAATCAAAATAAAAATAGTCGATAGTGGCAGCTCTAGTACTGATGTCTAAAACCAGACCTGGGCCCCAGCACCCCCCCCCCTGCCAATCAGAGCCTTGTAAACATGCACACTGCAATCTTCATGAAGCAGAACTGTGTCCCGAGGGCACTCCCCACCCCTCCATCTTTAAAACAGGAGTGGAACCTGTACCTTGTTAAAGTGCACATGCAATTCATTAAGATCCATAATAATAAATAAAAATAAAAGCGCTCGTACTTCCTGACTTGGACAGCCTTCCTCAGGTTCCCAGACTCAAACAGGGAGTTGAATTTCAGACATTCTCCATCATCAACCACAGGACAGCTGGAAGAGAAGAGGAGGAATACAGGGAGGAGGTGACAAGGCCTGGGTACGACCTGATGGCTACACACGTCTTGCCTGCTCCAAAGCACCTATAGAGAGGCAGAGAGAGAGAGCGAGAGAGAAAGATCTCACCTCTGCAAATCCAAATCATACACCACTTTGTCCAGGATGTCGTTGGGGTGAATCATCCTCTCGATGTCTTGGAAGATTTTTGACCTACAAAGAGGAGTCCTCTTAACATACTACATATGCCAAGGGCGTATGAAATCCCACGATTCATTACCGCGTTTTACAGGAAGAAGTCTGCAAAAGCAAATGTACTCCATCTCAGTCAACAAACTAATCAATCAGTGACTTTGACAAGTAACCAGCTAAACGGCTGACCAACCCATCAACCCAAAATCCAGATGAAGATCAAATTGGCTTCACCTCTGGACCCCGTAGAGTCTCTCCACGATGTGCTCTCGGTACGTGGGGGCGATGTGCCCAAAGTAGTCTGGGTAGGCCACCTCGGAGTACTGGGGGACGGACCTGGTGTCCTTCACCATCTCGACATAGAGCTCGGGGTCATGAAGGGGCAGCAGGGCGGCCGTGTCAGGCACCTCCAGGACAGCCTGGTCCCCGGACGAGTGCGAGCTGCAGTCATCCTCGCGTTCCACCTCACTCTCTGCCGCAGGCCTTTGCCCATTCGGGGCCGCACCTCCGTCAAGAGCCACGCGGCCCAGCTCGCGCACCAACGCCTGCTCCAATCCCTCCCCCGGGCGCTGGTCGAGGGCCCTGTCCGCACACTCCAACTGGACCAGATTTGAATCCGAGGGTGTCATATCTGGTGCAGTAGGGACCACAATGCGGCTGAGGGACTTCGACGGCAGCGATGGTGTCTGACATGGGCTGCTGCCGTGAAAGTGATACCCCTGAGAGATAGAGAGGGAGAAAAGATGGAGGAAAATGTTGCAGCACCCCCTGCTGGGCAACATAATGTACAACAGGAATACAAATACAGAAAACTGAGAAATACACAGCAGGATGAACCACTACCACGTTCTCCCCCCTGCAGGGTCCCATCCTTCAAGGTCCTGTACCTGAAAGTCCTCCGAAAGCTCAGAGAAGAAGCGCTCGTACATCCGCAGCTCCTCCATGGTCCGGCTGGCCTGTTCCCCAGGCCGCAGCTTGTTAAGGTCTGTCTCGATGTCGTCGTTCTGTCGTGAAGGTTGGGGGGGGGGGGGGGTGTAATCACCAGCTTGTGCAAACACGAGTAAATAAAAAGCATACTATTACTGTTCCAAATAGAAGTGTGCAATCATCTGTATGTGTATAGAATATCATCTGTATGCATGAGAAGGCAGGGGACAGTTCAAACTGTATAGCCTATTATTTAGCTCTTAAATTGCCATTGTATGTGTATCATACAATGGAAAACTTCATCAGTCTTTCAATTGATTTAGTTTACAGTATTTCTTAATCATCCTCTTTAAAAACTTTTGAGTGTCTATTAAAGGTATCTGGGAAGTTAAAAAGCAGTGTTTTATAACTGTAAATGCAAACCGGTCCGTTAAACAAAATAAAACAAACAAAAGCGGGAGCCGCGGGGGCCCATGTCACGGGTAAGCGGGAGCCACAGGGGCCCATGGCATAGTACACAGTGTGAACAACAGCACTGCTTGTATGGATGTGTATTATGGTTTTTAGAGACATCTTGAGATTTCTTGGGGCAGTTTTGCCCTTTGCCTCAGCTAATTTCC